GAGCCCGTTTATTTGCATTGCACAATTTGAAGCCAAAGTAAATAATCAACTCGCACTAATCTGCAGCCAAACTGCATTTAGCAAAAATGTTTTCTCCGCCGTCTGAGATGTCTGTCTCGAAGTCTGAAATGTCTGAGCCATTTGGTCAGTTCATTTTGCGGTCGAGGCAACTGGCTAAGATATAAAACCGAAAGAAAGGCGAATGGAGAGAATGGGTTTTTGTTTGCAGACCCGGCTTTATCATAATTTAACGCAGTTTTCTATTTGGTTTCGGTTTTGATTTGGTTTTGGTTTGGAGTCGGAGTCCAGTAGCTAAGCCCTATAAGATCCTGACACTCAACTTGGACGTGAGGCGGATGCAAATTGTGTAATCGTTGTGGGCAGAGATGGATGGTTTGGGAATGGCCAGTTTCTGATTACTCAGAAATTGTATCTTTCTGTGGACGGGGGAGGGGGAGTCCATAAAAACGCAGTTAACTTTGATGGAAGGTTTTAAGTTTTCCTCGATTTGATATACGAGGAATAGATCATTCCGATGGTTATTGGAAAAGGATGTGTTTGTGAATGGTTCTGCAGAAGAGGTTCTTGGTAATGAGTGTTTAGAAAGGAGAGAATGGCTGATAAATGAGATAGGAAATTGGTAGAATAGTTGGTAATATTAGGTAATGGGTGGGTAGGTAGTAGAATACTAAGCATGCATTCTATCTTACGAGTTTAAGATATATAGTTAGCAAGGGGAGAAAATCCCTAAAATCCATTCCTTACATTACGTTTGTTATTATCACAATTCAAATCTTCTTAATTTTCCTTTTCAAACCAACTCTTAATCTTCCTCATCTGAAGCATAATCCTCTCTATAACCAAAAATTATATGAATTTTGGAAATCGATATGAAACGACATTAATTGTCCCCACGCACAGCCGCGTTTAAAAGGGAAAACCTAATGCGACAAAATCTCTAGAAAATCTCAGCCATAACTCAATCACTCAAAAGAGATCTGTACGAGTTCCATGGAAAATGTCAGCAACCTTGCCAGCCCAGCACTTTATTATTTATCAGCTATTTGGGATCTGTAACCCAATACAATGGCCCAAACTCCAACTCAATTATGCAAATTAGCAAGACTCCAAACAAATTTGTTTGCCTGTCGTCATCTTTTCCATGTCCCTTGTTTAATGATTTCATATTGGTCAGCTCTGGCCATAACTTTGAGTGTCTTTATGCCTAAATATATTCGTATATATATATAGATGGACCACATGTCATGCGATGCTTTATCTACAAGATATAAATTAGTCAGACGACAGGTGTAGGCATCTGTGAGATTGTTGGGCAAGAGGGAAAGGAAAACTTCAGAGCATTTCCCAGCACGAGTAGGATTGCCTTTTGAAATTTGTTTAGTTTTTAATGCCCACTGACACTGGGCAGACAGAATGACATCGAAGACCCGATGAAGATGACGATACTGTGTGTTTTCCTGATAAGTCACGTCTCTCGTGTCATCGCATATTTGTCACACAGACTTTTTGCCTAATTGGAGTGGGCAGATAGCTAGATGTTCCTGCTATGCGGTGCACATTAGTTTGGCCAATTAAATTCGACTCCGAACTTATTTAAAACTATTATCTGGGTACGGAAACTCAAAGCAAACCGCACCGAACATGCCCATAATCAGTTCAAACAAATCAACTTTCCCGAAACGAGAGCCAAACGAAACCGCCGAAACCACCGTTTGCAACCACCGAAATCCAACCACTTGGCTAGCAAAATGTGCACCACAAATGCAGCTGAAAGGCGAGGGGGAAATCGTGGAAATCGAGGGGCAAGGCAAGTGTGTAATGTGGTGGAATTATTCACATCACAAACGGATTTCGCGTTCAAATAGTTTTCTGGGCTGGGTGCGGCCTGATCTAATGGCCATTGGCTAAGCAGATAGTTGTGGGTGGAAAAACTGAATTCGGTAATTATTTACAAAGAGAATTAAGGTTTCTCAAGAGATTAACTTAATTTTTAAATTAATTAAATTATTCACATCACAAACGGATTTCGCGTTCAAATAGTTTTTTGGGCTGGGTGAGGACTGATCTAATGGCCATTGGCTAAGCAGATAGTTGTGGGTGGAAAAATTAAATTCGGTAATTATTTACAAAGAGAATTAAGGTTTCTCAAGAGATTAACTTAATTTTTAAAGAAAAGAGGGGCCATGAACTGTGTAACCAAACTTCAGTATTCTACATTTTTCTACTAAAGAAGTAAAATTAGAAGAGAGCCATCGGCCACAGAGCCAGCTAATACGCTTTTGGAATATCTTAAATTTTTGATAAAACGCAGCTGCTTAGCCGCATTTTCCGGGAATAAACCCCATAAGACCCAACACCTTTGACACTTTTCCCGCAGCTCAACAGCGCGACACTTCTAAGACCCAAAACGGAAGTGCAGCGCAGCGAGTGAAGTACTTACTTAGGTCGACTTAACTCCATTTACTAATGCAGTTCACATCTCATTCACACTTTCTTTCTGTTGGGGCAGAGGTGGGTTAAGTTGTGTCAGCTGGCTGCGATCCGACACACTTACCCAAACATTGCACAAGACAGGCTAAATATACAAAGAAGAAGATATAGACAAGGGATCGGAGAGGGGGAGGGAGAGGAAAGATCGCTAATGCGTAATGTGTGACAGTTGCTGTCATCCGGGATGAAAGAGAGAGAGGATAGCTAGGTGGGTCTCCCCTCTCTTACCTCTTAGCCCCTGTCTGTCAATGTAGAAACGTGTAGGTGCTCGGTTTTTCCTTGGCTAATCTTTAGTGGAAATCTGTTTTCATTTTGTTGAAAATATTAAAAAGCAATTTCCATTCCTTCGTGTTTTTTAATTAACCCAACTCAGTCTCTCCTCCAGTTTGTCCAACTTCTTCTTCAAGTGCCCACTTGAGGTAAATTCTTTGCTTTTCCTCAGCAAGAGAGATGTTTTCCTCTTTCTTTTTTTTGGTGCGTAAATATTTGTTAAGAATGTTTTTTACAAAATTTCCCGTCAACTTGACACACACACAGACAGACACTCGTAATACACATTCAGATTCACTAATTATTCTCCAAGCACTTGAACTACATTGTCACCCCCCACATCTAGTGTTTCGAAGAACAATGTTTCTATTCTGACTTAAGGCTTTCGAGTGACAGCTTTGGGCTAAGGTGAGAACAGGACCTTGCCTTAGTTGCATTTTGATGTAGCAAAAATAGGCATTAAAAGTTAAAAAAACAGCATTAAAATGTAAATATCAAACAAATTTAAGAGAAAAACATGTTGTTTTTATGTTTAGTTTAATCATCTAAGATTTGCTTTAAACAAAAATCGAACTTTTTTAAGCATTTTATAAGAAATATGTATAAATTAACATGAAATAAAGTATTACTTATTAAGGTATTACCTAAAGTATTACCTATATAAATTTAAAACAAAATCATAAATATAAGAAGTAAGCCTAGTCCTAGACTTGAGCTTTACTAACATTGATATTAACTTACTATTGGCTTAAAGTCAATTCCAATATGTTTCTTACTTCTTCTAATAATCTTCAAATTTTATCTTTTGTAGAACTTTACTCTTTCTTTCAATGCTAAAAATGACTTAATTTGAGTATTAAAACAATAATTAGGTCATTTTAAGTATTTTGTAACATTGCAAGTTGAAAAAATGAGTTAAAAATAATTAATTGCCTAATAAAAGTATTTTAAACCCGAATAAGACTGCAAATGACTAACTTATAATGCCACTATATAATCTCTTTATGAAGATAACGAAACAGAGGCCAACTATTTAAACACTAATTAATAAATAACATATAAAAATAATCACAATTTAATGATAATTTTATATATATTATAAGCTGATGATCCTCTACAATCAGGTAAATATAAATAGCTCTTCTTCCCTCTACAAATAAATTTATATAACAAAATTATATATTTATTTCACTGATAACAAAAAGCAAGGGAATCTTTCCAACTGAATATGCAATCAGAATTCCAGAAACTAACAGTCCTAGTTTACTATTCTTAGCCTTAGATATTTTCTTGCGATAAAAGAAAAGGCTTTTCCCCACCTCAAACTTAAACCAAATATTTTGTCTGCATCCATCATTATTCTCCAACTGCCGCCTTTTGTTTAAACAAATGCCTTGTGGCAACCACTTGAAACTGTTTCAATAATGTTCGATTTGAGATGCACTTTAAATAGAGGCACGTAGCGAGAGGCAAACAAAACGGGCAACTAGGAATTACTGTTAACAACTGCAGCAACAATATTTGTACATGCGTTGCATTTTCACGCCGCATAATTAGGCAGTCGGAAAAGCCTTAACAACTGCCGCCAAACTTCAATTGAAATGCAAGGCAGCCAGCGACTGCAACACCCACATCACTTTAATTAGATGCCAACCGCAGTTAACAAAAAGACAAAAGGAAAAACCTTTCTGCATTTATGCTAATCAATGGCCAAGGGTTGGGTTCTTTCGAAAAGATGGCATCCGAAAACCGAAAGAACTGAAAAGTCAAACCTGCCTGGCATGTGGAATACTCTTTGCTGACCCACTTCAAATTGACCATAAAGTTGAGGAAGTAAACGGCAGGGAGGAGCAGGAAAACTACTGGAAAAACTATTGACACTTTCAATGGTTTTAATGGGAATTTGCATATAATTTTGAACATGCCATTAATTTTATTTTTTCGTGAGCTTAATAATGGATTTTTTTTTCGTTCGGGGAAATAGTTATTTATTCAGGCGCCTAATCAAAAGGAGGGGCTTTTAGAATGATAGAAAAGTATTATGTTTAGTCTGGCAGTACGAAAAGGACTTAAATTTAATGTTAACTCTCTTAACTCTCCCTTAAATTCTTACAATTTAAGGACTTACTTTTCTTTACAACTCCTTTCAGATTATATATTTAACTTAACAGCCATGAAATGAATCCCCTTAAATTAAAGATTTTCATCAACTAACTCACCTTATTTGTAAAATGAAACACTTTCAGTTAAGATAGTTCCTACTTCTTAGCTGCGATGTCAATTAATTTCTTTCAGGCTCAATTAATCCTTTCAAATTGATTGCTTAATCTGCACTTTGCAATCGTCTTTGTTTTCTAATTACAATAATACGTAACTTTGTGATTTTAATTGAAAATTCCTCAACTTTGCACGCTTGACAAGGCGTAAAAATTAAGGGGGTGCCCCTTAGCTTTGACTTCCCCTTCACTTATTGAATTCTAACGCACTTTGGTCACACTTTCAGCGACAGCTTTTAATATAATTCCGGGAATTTCTGAGGCGGCGGGGGTTTTCGAAAGTCCCTGTCAACTGTTATCAATCAAGGCAATTACACGCGCACAAAAACCAAAGGACCAATAGAATCTGTTTACTTGGTTTTCCAATTTTTATTTTTGTACTTCTGTAACTTTGTTTTATTTTGTTGTTTGCACTTTTAATTGTGTTTTATGGCCACGAAAGAAACTTTTTCAACATCCGTTTTCGCAGCGAGAACGCGCACTTCCAATTGGCCAAACGAACTTTACGTAAATTCGTATCTCGAAGATAAAGATACTCTGTTATCCCGTGGAAACAGCCGCGAGAACCGACCTCGTCGAACAAATTTGTGAAACTAACCACCCGCTTTTAGCTCGCCATCCAGCGAACTGCTTCTCTTCAAACTCTAAGGAAAAACTCTGCTGTTAACAGAGGCGGAACTTAACATCTAGCGGTTAAGAGTTTGTTTCTTATGTGAAGTTTACACGTGCGAGAGCGGGTAATACTGCCATTCGTATGGGCTTAACATTTGCGAGCGCAGCCAAAATCGGTTAACAGGGCAGTAACATTTCTTGCTCTCTGGCTTTCGGTTGAATTCGGTTTTATAGAGCGATTTCAAGTAAAGTTGCATGCGAGAAATGATTGCTGGGAGAGATTTATACTGAGAGAACAATAACAAAAAGCCGGTGCATGGGAATTTATTCTTTCTAATAGGAATGTATTGCCATCTAATTGTATAATGGCAAAATTTATGATTTTCCTAAGTTTCTATTTATTTATTAATTCGAAAATTTTTTTCTATTTTTTTTAAGATATCTTGTTAATATTTTTATTTTTACCATTTTATAATTTAACAGTTAAAAATACCATAAAAGAAATACCTAAAAAAATTAACAAATTAATACATTTCATAAACTTAAAAATAAAAAAGGTTTTGCATTTTGAATTAAAAATCCTTCATTAAATTCTCATTTAAAACTCGTAGACCTGCTATAAAAATCCTTAAATTTTGTTATGCTGCCGTTTATAGCAACTCTCTCTGGCTCTCTCCTGCTCTCACTCTGTTAATTTCCCTTGCTCTCTTTAGCTGCTTTGTTGTTGTCTTGTTATTGCCTTTGCCATGAACAGCTGTTTTTTGTTTATTTCAATAAATTCTCTCGCATTGTCTGATAAGCACGTGGATTTTTTCCCCCGTTTCAATACAAGAGAATTTATAAGGCGGCCACAGGTAGCGGTCAAATTAACAGAGAATGTCCCTGATAACAGAACTGTCAACAGCGGTCATTTTTGAGTTTTTGATAAGGGAAAATATTTATTTAATAAATATTATAGTAGTTGCTGCAACTTTTAAAATAAAATATTTTTACCAAAACTACCACAAATATATATTATTATTTCCCTCATTAACATATCCTAGTTAGCCAGTAAAGTCCACTAATTAAGTGACATCCAATTAGCTAAATAAACACTGGCTGCCACGCCCCGTTGGCCGAATGAAATGGCTCGCGGAATCGCTGAAATCATCCACGCAATCAATTAAAAATGTTTAAAAATCTGCAGAATTAATAAGCAGGCGCCACAACACACATGTTTAGAAAATATTAGATATTCCTCGCGAATCAGAACGAGGTATATATATATATATATGTATGTATGTATATGTAGGGGGAAAAGTATCTGCCATCCTCCCCATATTTGCAAAATCAGCAAATGTGTCAACCGAGAAGGGTGGCCAAAAAAAGGAAAAAAAAGAAACAAAGTGCACGGGAATTCTGCTTGATGTAGAATGAAACGCATTAATTTGGCTCGTTATGATTATTGCCACGCCATGCCACGCCCCCTACCAAGACGCCTCCTTGTACGAAGCTGGAAAAGATGAAGTTACAGAGAGAAAAATAAGACTATAAGAACTAGGCTAGCAATTTTAGAACATTTTCATTGATGTTTTAGCATTGGTTAGCTTGTTTTACGCCAAGTAATTTTTATATATCCGTTCAAATATATTCTTATCCCTTATGACATAAGATATATTATATATTTAAAGTATATAAAAACACAATAAATCCACAAAGGCATCCTTTAGTTTTCTAGGTGTACATTTCAAGTAGACCATATGGAAATGCCTTGAGTAATATGTTTGTCTGACTCTGCACAGACCAAACTCTGACCCTCATTCAGCACCACATGCCCCTCTCTCTCTCTCGTAAGCCCCCTCCGTGAGCCCCTGGCCATCGTCTTTTTCGAAAAGGGGGGGAACCACCGCCAAAGGCGCACGTTAAGCGAATCGTGCACACGCCCCATGACGATGATTAATTACCTTTTTGGCTGCTCCGTTCGGTGTTGTCTCGAATGTATCTTTGTATCTTGTAGCTTGTATCTTGTGCACATTTCACTTATGCACGCCTCATGCTCCACCAAGGGGGGGATGGGGTATTCCTCTCGAGGGGAGTAACTCCTCTTTTGGGGGTTCGTTTGTCGCTGATGAAGTTGTATTATTTATCGCAAAATGATTTTTCGCACTTTCTGCATGTCTTCAGTTGTCTTTCCTCTTCTCTCGTCTTCTTTGTTAAGAAAGGTGTGGAAGAAGAAGGAAAAGATATAACTAGGCAAGCGGATGCTATAACTTGAGTGGGGCTTAAAATATTACTTAGGGAAGTTGGTCTTTTCTAGCTATGACTTGTAATTTATTTTTAGTTTTTATTAACAATATTTCAAAATCAAGAATCTTGTATTTGGTTCATCTTTATCTCTTTTTTAAGGTTTAAATTAGTTTACATAAAAAAATATATTAAAATTTTCTTATTAACGAAATTTTAAGATTTGACACCAAATTATTAAACATTTTTATAAGTTGCTGCCTTAATTTCATATTTTAAGCCGCATTCAAGGAATATTTTTCACTTTAGTTTGCTTCCCAGCTGTTACTTGCACCTGTGTTGGGTTTTAAGTTCAAAAATAATGTTAATAATTCCTTGAAAAATTCAAATTTTCTTTTGTTATATCAAAGTTTATAATATAATATAAAGAGTCATAATCATATTCTGCTGTTCCATTTAATTCTCTTTCACAGTGACCCCTAAAACTTAACGAACCATGCCCTAACCACACATAAACTCCAATTCTAATGTTCTAAAACAGATCTACTTTAGATACTCCACTTATAACCATAACTTCATGGAATAATTTTGCCTTTAAATATAGACGACCTGAAAGTGGCACTTCGACTAGACCAACTCATAACTCTAGATTGCATTATCTTGGGATCTCCAAATTTAAGGGACACATGTGCTGCGTCCTTCACTGTCAGCACTCCCGCCGACTCCTTTCGTGGCAAAGTGAGGGCATATCAGGTTGCCCTGCTAGAGAAGGACTGCAAATCGATTGAGGAACCCTCGAGGAGTGAATGGTATCTGGGGGATGGGGCTTGGAGAGTATTTCACAGAAATTCGAAACCGCGCAAAGTCAATGAACCAAAACAAACGAAAACAAAAGGGGCCACCACCGAGCTCTGGCAAAAGAAAATAAATACAATAGGAAAAGGCAACAAAAAAGTACAAAATGCACAACAATTTGACATCTGTTTCAACAAATTCGTGGAGCGAAAATAAAAAGGAGTAAAAAAGGGAGTAAGGATGAAAAGGATGTCACGTAGATTGACTTGTACAGCAGACAAAGGCAGCCCGAAACTTCAGCTCCTTCAAGTTGAAAACTCCTTCGCAAAAATAAAAAGCAAAACGAAATTCCCCCGAGTTCGTGTGACAAATGTCAAGGGTTAATGAGATCCCTTTTCTCCAGTACTCTTCGGAAATGGAGTTGTGTTAATTATCATCAACGAACGGGAGTTTAAACGCTTCATTAGACAAAACACTGCAACTGCAAAGAGGCAGAGAAACCAAATGGAAATTCTGATACAGAGGGGTGAAAGCGATACCCAAAAGCAGGGGAAACAGTTGAGTTTAAACATATTTAGTGAAAAATTTGTGGACAACACAAAAATATCAAATTACCGAAAACCGGGAGTTGCCTTCTAGTCTTAACGGGAATGGATTTTTTTAGAGCGTTTGAGGGTCAGCGTAAGGGAGAAAAATAGGCCTTCAATTAGTCACATTTTACATGGGTGAGAGATTGCAGATAAAGTTGGGAGATACATTTTAGTTGAACTGATTTGGTTCTGGGAAAGGGTAGTAAATCTGACTACAGATGTAAGATAATTTTTAAGAATTTAATTTATGACTTTAAATACTTAAAAATTGATTTTCAAACAACAAACGTATCTGAAAAATGTGATATTTTTTGCCCTTCTTAAATCTCATTTTGATGAATAAATTAGTTCAGTTTTTCCCCTTGGCGCTTCCCAGAAATCCTTTCCTTAATGAACTTAATCGTGAACTCTTTCCAAATATATAATTATAGTATTTCTCAAGAAACAGATCGGCCAGCAGATCATTAATATGCATTGTGTTTTTGAAAAATGATTTTTTTGCATGCCATATCTGCCAATGTGATGTTTTAGCCGCTAATTGTCAAAGCCCACAACACTTTTGCCCTTAATATGCAGTTCCTAAAATTATGGAAAATATTCATTTATTTTAATTAGCTTAGGCTTGGGGAGAAGTCTTCAATATGACCCCAAAGACTGCCTTTTGGCATGTGAAATGATTGATGGATTGAAACTCCATTGTCTTCCCATGAGTCATTCGAACAAGAGAAGCTTATAGAGCGAACCACTTGCTGCAGTGACTCACTTCAGAATAGGAATATATAATATAATCGAAATGGGGATCGGAATCGTAAAAATGCAATTGACAAGGAAAAGCAGAAGGGAAGGGGGCCGAAAACAGCTGGAAAACTCGAGGGTTGAAGGTCATGCTCAGCCGTCTTTCCAGTTTTATTGCTTGGAAAACAAAAACCTAAAAGGGAAAACCGCTAGAGTAGCGCCCCATAAACCATAAAAATGCATAATCTACGACCACTTGACACGCATTAAACGAAAAGCAAAACAAACTTATGCCGGCGGCATCTTAGCATTTATTTCCCATTTTTAGTGAAATATTTTTTAGCCGCTGGTTACTCTTCGGTTATCATTTCCCCAGATAAGGAGTAAAAATCGAAAAACCCCAAAAATCATAAAAATCGATACTGATGATGTAGATTTTTATGAATTCATACAGGGCTTCCGTCACACGACTAACTCAAATCATAAAAAACTACAACAAAGAAAACTTTTTCGTTCCGCCAAAAGTCACAGCAACAAAAAATAGGAAGCGATGAAAAGCAGAGGTGGAGGGAGTAGAGAGTTTCATTGTCAAAATCACGTGCGTGCTGGGCTACTACTTTTTTCAGTCCAACTGGACTTGTAAATTTATTCGTCACATACAGCCGTCGTTCTTGTTATGCAGCTTTCCATGGGCTGCCCTATGTTTTTCCAAGGGAAATTACAACTTTGCCATCAATTTCGCCGTCCGGAAAACCAGAACTAGCGTAATAAAAGAACAATCAAATTGGCGGAAATATTCGCAAAAGTAATTGAGTAATGAAAAACATTAATTTAAGCAGCCGTAAACTAAATGTAATATAAAAATAATAAAGACTAAGAAACAGAAAGTTATGGCAAGTGAATAAATTAGACTTTATTTCCTAATTCTTTGGCTATTTTGAAGGCTGATGAACCTAATATCTTGCTAATAAATCACTTATCAAATAATAGTTGAAAGAGAAGGGTATTTCAACTTCCATATACCCAAAAGCCTTTCCTTTAGTTTTTTAAATTTACTTCTGACGACACGTGAAATTATTGTATAAAAACCTTTGGTATTCTGAATTTCTTGACGCCTCTGCCGAAAATAATTGGAAAAACATAAAGAAAAAGACTCCAAAAAACAACATACATCAGTCAGAATAATTTCGGGGTATGCGCAATGGGTGCTACCCGTGATTAAAGGATGTTTATTAAATATTCATATAAATGCCAGTTTAAAGCTATCCCCGTCAGGTTACAGACCAGTTGAGTGTCAATGTCGGCGGTCTTTTTGTTGGCCCGCCATCGGTCTGCATTATTATTGACATAGCCCATGAATCCCCAATTGAAAGGCTTCCCTTACTTACACGTTTTTGAACTTTGCCGCCTCTATAAGGGTGGGTAAAAAAGGGGGTTGTGTTTTCGGGGGGCATAAATAACAATAGATTTATTGCAAACAATACATGAAATGCATTCAAATAGACTGAAATGGTCTCTGTTTGGTATCGGTTTTTTCAGCTCTTTAGCTTTAAGTAAAGTTAAAGTTTTGATAGCTTTGTCAGAATTTTGTTTCATTTCCTCTAAAACCTAACCATTGCTACTTTGTTTTAGGTTGATAAGGAGTTTCACCATAAAATCCCTGATAGCAACTGGAAAGGCAACTCTAAATAAAAATCCCCAACACGGAAAAACTTATCAACACTCAAGCTGAAAGGAAAGCCACCCTAGATTTGTCAAAGCAGGTCAACCCTAATTGGATCTCCCTCAGTCGGTTGTCAGTCTAAATATTTTTCCTGCTTTCTCGTTTTCCCAAAATTCCAAGCCACGGTCTAATACAAAGTCATAGAAATTTGTGTACAGAAAGGAATAATGTCCAGGCATCGGAACAACCTGCGCCGCGAACATATAGAAAGTGAAAGCGAGGAGGAAGCAGCTGACGAGCCGGAGAAATTCGCTGCAACAAGTCCGGAAAATGAGAACATACATTTGGAGTCGCCGGAAAATCTGGACTTTCTTGATTTCCTGGATACCCCGGAACCCCTTGGATGAAGTTAATCCGCTGGATGAGAGCGAAGAAAGTCCAGAACGGGAGGAGAAGCCTTACCATGTGGCAGCTAACTCCAGTTCTTACATCGATCAGGAGGTCTTGGAAAATCATCGAAGGATTTACCGTCAGTTGGGAATTCATATCCCGGTGATGCAGCCCAATCATCCGATGTTGACCTTTCGCTTCGTCCTGAAACTTTTCCTGGCCGCCGATAGTTGCACTATGGATTTCCTGCAATGGTCGTCGACTGGTAATGAACTGATTCTGGAATATGTGGGATTGCAGCAGTACTTGTCCAGCGCCGATTCCATTTTCCATTGCCGCAGCACTTTGCAATTTACGGAGCTGCTTTTGGCCCATGGATTCCAACGAGTTTGGCCGCGGAAAAAGAAGACTGCCATTCCAGATACTCTTGAGCCCGTGCTCCTGACCTATCGAAATCCGAAATTCCGTGAAGGTGATGTGATAAACCTGCATTCGCTGAATTTGGAATGTGAGCTAATCAGAGAAAACCCGTCGAAGAAGCAGCCACGATTTCCATCTCTGCACGTCCCGAACTCTAAACATTTCGCCAGGATGACCCGGCGAGGAGATCTCTGCTCTACTTCGTATTCATGTCGCTCTCCTCTCCAGATAGCCCGATGCCAGTTTCAGACCATTCTCGGATACCAAGCCGATTTGGGAGTCCTGAAGGAACGCCATGCTGTGTTCAACAGACACTCCCTGACGCATTCAAATATGAAGAGAGGACGCAATGCAACCAGTAATCCTATAGCCGATGTAAATCCCACCAAAGTGTCCTTGGCGAAGTTCGTTAAGCCCCACGAATCGGTCATTAACATTGGAATTGGTCAAGCACCCGACTATGCCGGTTACTATGGCAAGGTGGAACTTTCCAAAGTCAATGATTTCTTCTCGGAATATCTGCCGAGATACGGCAGCAAGATCACCGGCTATAAGGATATAGTAATGGATGCCACCAACAAGTCCATTGGCTTCCAACAGAATCTGCCCATCGGAATAAATTATTCGGATGATGAAGACGATGGCTTAGTACCAATTTCTTCCGGTTTGGATATGGATTTCTTGCCATCCACCTCAGCGGAGGCAAAACAGAAATCTTCTAGCCACAAGTTGCCTGTGGATGATTCGGACTTGGAGCAGGCCATGCAGGAACTGTGTGGCGGTTTGAATCCTATTGAGGATGATGAAGACCCACAGCCCAGCACTAGCACTAGTAGTAATAGGACAAAAGCAAAACCCAAGCCAAAACCCAAAGCCAAGCCTGTCAAACGTCAGGCCAAACGGCAAAGTTCCAGTTCTAGCGAAAACGAAGATTCCAAGAAAATCGAAAAGAAAAAACCCAAGCAAAGACAACCAAAGAAAATGAAAAGGGAGCCAGAAGAAAGCTGTTCTTATAAAGTGGAAACTGATGAGGATCTCGAGGAGCAGGAAATCGAAGATGCTAACGATAATAAGGAAAGGATGATAAGGGATCGGCGATACGATGACGAGTCCAATGATGACGAGGAGGAGGATGAACTGGACGAGGACGATGAGGATTATATCGACAAAAACGTACAGTACAGGTCAGCACCGGAGCCTCCCAAGACGCGACGTTATGATCTTCGCAACCCCAAGCGACATCCGATTTGAAGTTTATAATAATTTATGATTTTTTTTATCTAACTAGGAACCAAAAATATTTAGTTAAATCAATTTTAAGCTAAATCTAACGGAAGATTGCCCGGCTGAGTGGAAAGCTCGAGGCGTATTTTCCTTAAAACCATTAAACGTTATTTAATTCCTCTAAAAAGAACTTTTTTGACGGAATTTAAGTTAAAAATCTTTACTACACAAGAACAAACTTCAACTTTTTTCTTTATATTTATTTTATTTCCAAGTCTTTCTAGACTTTTTATGACCAAAAATATTTACTTAAACTTGCTTAAACCTTTTCAACTCAAAAGTCTTTCTTGGTGCCACATTTATCATCTCCTTCTGACCATTCACCTCGGCCATATCTTTTGTTTATTCAACTTGAGTGCCATTCTTTTAACCATCATTCGGCATATCTAAACCTTCCATTATAATAACTTTTGTTGGTCTCTTTTGAAGGCAATAAGCTTGGACATATGGGCAATTAAATCGCTTATCGACCTTTGATCTCTCACGCCCTCAGTGCCCCATTACCGAGGCCAATCAAAAGTGTAATATCATCTGAAAATATCTTACCAATTCGAACTGAGAAGAGCCCAGCCACCAGCCAGCACCCACACAGACAGAAAACACAGAGAATAAAGGAAAAAAGCCAGAAAAGCCAGACAGGGGCACAATCAGTCGGATGTTTACAAGTTTTATGAGCCACCAAATAACAAGATGAACAACAGGCAACCGAAAACGAAACCAAAACCAAAACCAAAAGCGAAACTTAAACGATACTTGATTTCGTTTCGAGGGATTTGGGATTGGGTTTGGGGTTTGGGGTCTGGGGTTTCGTTTTTGCCATTGGGACACTCGGACCGCATTTGCAAAAGAGGCGCAAAAATAAGCGCTTTTTATATAACTCAGCGTGAGCCGAGACACGATTTTTATCGTCTTTAATTTGCTTTTTATTTGATATCATATTTCAAGACAGGCGGACGGACGGACGGCAGAGGCAGAACAAATCTCAGAGGCTCACTCCCAAGAACTTTCAAGCGATGAAAACAAAAGCCGGTATCCTCTTAGTTGCCTTCTCAACCTTCTCCTCCACTCCCCCCAAAAAGGCCAAAAGAAAACAGATTTTTCGGTTGGCAAAAATAAAGAGGGAACCTTGAGTCAAGACGTCATAATGTCATAAAAATGTCACATACTTTTAATAACTTTATGACAGCTACAAAATCATAAACAAAATGCTCTGACAGCACAGCACACGAAATGTGAGAGGAAGCCGAGAGGGATTCTGCGGTTGGTTTCATTTGGGAGTCGTCATAATGAGATGTGTCATGTTTTGCCTTCTGAGAAATGTTTCTTGTTCTCCATTCCGGTGGCTTTTGCCATGATTGCCCATCGAGGATCCCAGTTGGTTATTGGGTAGGAGAATAAGTCCGATGACCAAACAGCCTGCCTGCCTGACTGGCTGCCTGGCTGCCCCCCAAGAGTCTCAATTATAAACATGACAGCCTGATTATTAAATTTGATGTTTAAATGATGATCTGTGGAAGAGGGATATTCGATATTAGGGGGACTGTTTAGCATGTGTTTTTTTTCTGTTAGGATGTCTATTAAGTCGGTTCTGAGGGGATAGAAAAATTACTTTTTGGGAGAAACTTGTTGACTTTGCAGAACAACATTGACATTGAATGTTGAAGAAAACTTTAGGAAGGTAAAATTATATCACTTTTTAAATAATATAATACAATTTTAAATACTCTTAAATTCCTTTTATTAGATAGTTTATAAGCTTCTTAAGTAAGCACTTTATTTATAGAAATGGTTCTGATTTTATACTTCTCTCCGATTTCTTGTACTTAAATAATCCTTAAAAATCTTAAGAAAATATTTTAAAATATTTCATAATTTAAGGGTTAATGGTAGGAAAGAAAATGGTCAAAATGTATATAATAAGCTATACAAAATCAAGTTTCCTTCTGAACACTTTGACTATTCCTTGGATTATTATTTCTTTCTCTGCCCACACCCATTTAGTATAAGCCAAACATAAACTTAAAACAATCCTTACAAAATCTAAAAAATATATTTTTAAAATATATATATTTAAGATAAGAAATATCTTTACAAATTTAAGTTTTCCAATGTATATTCCGCCTGCATTATTGTTCCACAATTTTTCCAATTTTAGTTCCCTTTCTTTCTTCTCACGCAGTCATTTCAAATAGGTAAATTTTAAGCTTAATCAAAATGGTGCTTAAACAAATCTTCAAAAAATATTCTAAAATATATAAACTTAAGAGGAATAATAATCTTGTAATTCTTTTTTTTTTTGACTAGAGCACGTTCTAGTTATTTTTCTTTCCTCTCACGAACCCAGTTAAGAAAAGCCAAATTTATTATATTCTTAAAAAATCTTCAAAAAATGATCTAAAAATTATAGACTTAAGAGAAACAATTATTAGCTTTACAAAATGAAGTTTTCTAATGCATATTCTCGGTAGAACTCTGATTTCTTTGCTTTATTATTCGATTTGTAGTTCCCTTTCCATCTTCTCACGCACCCAGTTAGTATAAGCCATACTCACACGCAGGAAAGCACACCTTCTTTTTGGACCAAAGACCGCAAGCTCAGCCTTAGTTTCGACACATAAATTCGCTTTGCGACAAAGCGCGCAAGTATTAAATTATGGAACCAGGAATAAAGTCGGGACTTTTGCTGCATTATAATGAAGCCGAAGAGTGGGAAAGGGGAGGAGGGGGGACAGGGGAAAGCCCTCCGAATACAGAGTTATTAAATGCCAAGTTATTTGTCGTTTAGCTGGAAATCCATGCAGGTCGGCAGTACTTTAACTTCTGAGACACACACAAACTTTTTTTCTTTCTTTTTTGGTTTTTTGAGACTGCTTTATGGGTTTTGAGTAGGAAATCTTTACGAGTTTCTGGCGGAGAGACAAATTTATTGGCGAGGCATTAATGTTTTCTTTACTGTTCGTATTTCTCTCGTCTTTGTTATTTTTCCCGTTTTTTCGTCCGACTTTAATATGGAGTCGTAAAGTTTTTTAATGATCCAAAGCGATGGTAAAACTATTTACATATGTATCTTTATGCTTTATGGGGGCCAAAACGAGGAGATCTTTCCTAAAGGTTTGGCAATTTGTCTTCTGATGGGAAAATGCCAAAGGAAAATGAGGTGTTGAGTGTGGGCTATGCGGCGCTGTGAGGAAGGAGGAATCATAAATAGATAGGAATTTAACAGGTTTTATGGTTTAAAAAACGCGATTTCCCAAAATATTACCATTACTAATTGGCTAAAATGGACATCAAAAGATATTTCAGCAATGGAGTCTAAAACTTAATGAAAGGTGAAGTCATTTTTTTCATTTAAATTCAAAAATTTTTCTCCTCTCCTTGAAAAAACAAACTTACCTCTCGATTAGCAACAAATCGAAACTCAATTTACCAGTTCCCTCGAGTAAATAATTTGTTGTACATTTGTTAAGAACTTTGCGGTTATCTATATGCCTTTCCATAGCCAACTTTATAAATAAGCCATAAACGGACTCCAAAACTAGCCACGAAATGCTGTGAAACTTGCTCCTGTGAGTTTGGCGTGTCCTTGGGCTTCCTTTCTTTCACCCTCCTTTTTGCCCCCTCAGCAGAGGTAGAGAGTTATTTTATGATTGCACAAATGCAAAATGCAAAATGCATAACAATCACAATTGCACGAAAATATTTCGCCAGCAAATTGGGATTTATATGTATGAGATATGGCCTCATTCCATCTGCTTGGCAAACTTTCCTCCAAAGAGCTAAAAGGGACCGAAGTAGCTTACCTTCGAGTGTTGTAACCCAGTTTCGAATTGCTTTTTTATTTGCCAATGGCCGCAGTTAAGGATGTGGTTATGGATATGGATGTGCTCCCCGGGGGATGAGTAAACCGATTCCCAAGTAGTTTATGCAACATTTCCTAAAATCTACCCAAAAAGTTGGTGCAAACTTTTGATCGATGTGCTGCATGGATGCAATTATGGGTGCAGTTTGGGAAATATTACTTAAAAGTGGATATATTTGTTTCCTTTTTAAATAGGTATTTTAACAATATAAAACTCAGTGTGTTCATAAACATTTTTAGAGATATAAAATCTGCTAAAAGCTTTGCCATTGAACTTAAAATCTCTAGTTAATAATCTCGACTTTTTAGCCAACATTTTCTTTGTTTTAATATAATTTTTTTAAAGTAAGGTATTTCAATAATCCTCTTCCGGATAGGGAATGCAATGACATGCTCCTGGAGTATTAGATCCCAGCCAGCGAAGGTACTGATTGACCCTGGTATAAACTCCCGGCGATTGGGGTCTGGCACATCCCACGCCCCAAGACACAATCCCAGCCAGTTGATATTGTCCTGGCTGTTCATCGAAGGTGGTCTGAAGTGGGCCACCACTATCACCAGTACAGGCATCCTTCCCTCCCTCGGAGACAGAGCCAGCACACATCATATTATCCGTGATTTGACCCGGCTTATAGGTTGTGGAGTTCCGACAATCGGTTTGGCTTAACACCACAACATCCACTTCCTGATTTTCATAAGTTTTAGTAAGTAATAATTATCAATTCAAAATCTTAACTTACCCTCAAAACATCAGAGCCAAATCCACCTTCTCTCTGAGCCCCCCAGCCAGTGACTATACCCAATTCCTGATCAAAGCTATAGGATTGCACGGGCAGGCAAATGGGTCTTAGGCGATGGTTCTCCATATCAACGGGTTGATCGAGACGCAGAATAGCTATGTCATTGTCAAAACTTCGGGGATTATATAGTTCATGCACCTTTACCCTGGAGACATATCTCTGGATTACTATATCCTGATTGGTATTACTGCGATTGTGTTCGAGAAATCGCAGGGAAATTATTTCCGGAGGAACACCCTCCACACAATGTGCTGCTGTTAGGACGTATAGATCATTGATCAGTGATCCGGAGCAATAGAATCTATCATAGATCAGAATCACAGCCATCCAGGGGTATTGATGAACGCGGGTCTCCTGGCCCCCAAAGATTTTATACAGGGTATTAATCAGGCCACAGCGACATGAAACGCAGTCCCTTTCTATGGGATAGCTTGCCAATGTGGGTCTTGGAGTTGTAGTTGTGGTTGTTGTGGTTCTCCTAGTTGTAGTTGAAGTTGAAGTTGAAGTTGTAGTCGAAGTAGAATCTAATTCGGTAGTAACTGTCGTCGTGGTTGGTAAAAATATAGATCCCAGCCACTCAAAGAGATTTTCCTGACCCGTATGAAGTTGGTTTTCGGGTAAACTGAGACATAAACCACAAAATAAACCGATCAAAAGCAATTGAAGCTTCATCTTTCTTGGACTTTTCACAACTAAGCTGGGCACTGTGATGGATCATCCATTTAAAGTGGAAAATCAGCCTGCTAATCACGTTTTATTCTATCGCCCAACTGGCATCGTCTGGCTGGGGCAACTTTTCATTTTGGCAACACATTTTCCAGGCTGTCGCACAAATGAATTCATGAAATGTTTGCCAGCAAAGTGTAAATGCCTCGCAGGTTAACTAACAATCAGGGTTTGTACTGACAGGAGCAAAGGGGCCATATTTGCCAGGGGTTTTACAGGGGGACTCAACCAGAAGATTGCACTTTTCATTAATGCTAAATTAAAGCGATTTAATAGGCTCGGAATTTAAATTAAACATGTATAAATTGGAATTTCATAGAAGCCAAAGTAGATGGGAATTTCGTAATGAAATAATGCCAGGAAATGTATTCACAGTTTTGTGGGATAGTTTCATATTAGTTGGCATGATTTAAGCAACTTACCCCAACTTTACTTTTACTGGACTTTTCTCTACTCGTCGAACTCCCTAATTGACAACTTTAATAATTTCCCTGAAAACTTTTCCAACTATTTATCCAACATTATGCAAATCAGCCGCCCAATCAAGGCTTGACACTCCACACATTGTTGGCCTGTCCCGTAAGTTTCCATTTCCCTCCGATTTTCCCGCCACTTGTCATTTGCGTCTGTGTAAGCTGGCACAATAATCTGTAATAGGCTTAGGCATGAAATATTGACGCTTAGTGACCGCTTAGTGGATGCCAAATGACTAAGTAACATCATCTCGGTGGAAAAACTCCACTCCACCGAACACCCAAACTCCAAGTGTAATTAGAAGAGCTCTGAAAATTAGTGAAAGCATTTTCATAACAATTTTCCGAAATGTGAATGTGAACGTATATATGTATGTTTGTGGAAAACTAAGCCGCTTATGGGACTGTGAGCAAAGCTTTTCGACTTTGACTAATTGAATTTGGGGTACGAGTATATCCATTGAGGCGTATCTTTAACCCCAGCACACGACGACTTCAATTCCGATGGACACGCCCACATGGGGCAGTTGGTTTTTCATGCTTCAACGCCTAAATGGTAGCATTTTCCCCTGCCCAGTTACATTTTATAGACTCTAGACTACCGAACTTGATGAGCTCAATTGGAGAGTTTCAAGGGGCAGCAGGCGGAGGAACAGCAGCAGCAGCAGCAGCAGCACCTCTGTAAATTGTCCAATTATAAAAATGCGTAGGCCAGGTAGCCGCCAGTTGGAGAAACCAGAAGCCAACTCGGCTCTACAGGGAAACTCTAGACTCATCCACATGTTTCTGTCACTTTTGATGGTCGCTCCTCTCGCTTAATTGATATTTATGGAAATGGGATTCTGCCGGAAAGTGGAGCACATGTGGGGAGATTTACAAGCCACAACATTGAACTTCACTGCGGAGACAGCTCATTAGAGAGTGGGAGACACTCAGCTGCATTTCTCAGCTGGGCAAAAACAATGCTGGAAAAGCCTGAAAAGTAATCCACTGACCCACAACTGCAGGCAAAGAAAAACGCAGAAGGAAAACAGCAGGAGGGCAGCTTTTGTCCAAGAAATATATGGCTTAATTGTGGCAAAGTAATAAACATGTCCAGAGTGGGTAAAAAGTTTTGCTTGCCAAGAACTTTCGACCGTTGTTTGTGGTCGCAAGCCGCAAAAGAAAACCAATTAAAATGGCAGAGAGGCAGAAGTCAGAAATTAGACGAAAAACTAATGGCCAAGCTGAGGGGGGGAGTTCGAGGAGGGGAAAAGAGATAAACCAACTGGAAACTTTTGAATAATGGAAAATAAACTACATTTTTCTTGTTTCTGATTTTTCAAATAGTTTAATCAACGATTTTCATTTCGTATTTCAGAGATATTTTTTAGTTAGCTTATATTTCCAATCAAATAAATACTTTCATATTTATGTTTTCTCAACAAATTTTTATTAAACGTGTAATAGCAATATAGTTGACTATAAATATTTATAACCAGATAAAAACAAAATGAAATTGTATCAATTCCAATTAAAGTCAACTCTGAAATACTTTAGTTGGCTAAAATAAAGTAAAGTAAACTCAGTACTCGAATTTAATTGGCAAATGCTAGACTCCCTTTCACCATTCAAATATTTGATTGCAAAATATGTATTTGATTACTGGGAATTTATGTTTATCTCGATGAGAACCGAATGTTTCGCATTGCGTAGGCTGATCAGCGTGAACATGATTTAATGGCCGAAAAGGAAAAACTGCGAAAAATATTTATGCACACACATTGGCAATATCTTGAGCTGTGGCAACTACTTAGTTGTCGAACATGAGCTCTTTGGCCGCTATCGTGACAGGATCGGGCTTTAAAATACAGCTTACAAAACAGCAGGCAAAGCAGCCAAAACATTCCGACGACTTTTAATTAAAAGCAACATTTTCACAGGCCGCCGAACAAGCTTATTAACAGTTACCCGACCCAAACTAAGTAAAAAATAAGTAAGAAAAAAAACAACAACAAACATAAGGAAAACAACGTCTGTCAATTGATAAACAAGTCAACTGTCACTTAGGCCCAACATTGATAGCGACTCTCGGCGAAGCGGCCAACGTTAATCAGGCAAAGTGTCCGGCTTTGAATCCGTATCCCCCTTCTCAGTCTCCCTCTTCTCTCTGTCTCTTGTTCCAGTCGAAAGAGTCCTGCTCGAGGACCGGATCCAAAGAGCCCCAACTCCTTCCGAAAAACTCCACTTGTTGCTGCCGGCTGATGGCGATAAGCAGCGACACATGTCACAAGATTTTTCTGCCTTTTCTGCCCAGTCGCTTTTCGTTTCGCTTTTTTTTTCCATCTTATTTTTTATTTTAATCAAAAGTGGAAATTAAACGCGGCTAATGAAGATTTTAATTGCGTGCAACGGCGAAATGGAGTTGCATGTGGGTTTCGTGGCTGTCTGGCCAGCATAACCACAATATCTATAAAAGTGTATATATGCATAAGTACACATGTATAGGGAGTGCATGCAACACATAAACTTGCAACTTAGGATTTACATGATCAGCGTTTGTGGCAGCACGCAATCAATGTGCGAAAGAGAGAGATCCTCCTAATCAACTTCTGTTAAGCCGCTTATGACAGTTCGTAAAGGACAGTGGGCCTAAGGTGGAGGAAAGCTGGTAAAAAAAAGGTGATGCAGTGGGAGTTTGGTTGCCAATTTCGGTAATAGAAGTGCCTGTAGATATTGAGTCAGTCCTAAGACTTGGAATTTGCAATTAGGTATTAATAATCGTACTGGGGATACCCTCTAAGTTTCTCATTTCAATAATTTTCCAAAGTTGCTAAGGGTTTTTTCCAAATATTTCGTTTCTTTACCATTGGATGTTCTAAAAAATCACTCAAATTCTAGAAAAGGTTTATTTACTTCTCATATTTTTAATAATTTATAATCAACGACACATTTATTCCTCATCAAATGACTATTTCGTGAGTTCCGTTCAAAGCTACTTTTGTATGCACATAAATTGAAATCAAATTATAAAAAAAGGAGCTCTTCAAATATTGTGAAACATGAAAGATATAAATATCTTAAAGGTCACGAATTTATTCACCTTTAAGTGACTTTCCCACTCCCTAACACTAACATTCTATATCCACTTAACCCTATATAACCCCTGTCCATTCCATTGATACACATGATATCAACCAGTTAAAGAGCAATTGATTGCTCGGAAAACATACACATCAAAATCCTTTGTCATGCAGCCAATTTACATAGAGCATAGAGGGGTTTGCCCCCAACCTTCAGACAATTTCCGCTCCTCCCCCATTCCAGAAAAACGAAGAGAAAATGTGAAAAATGTCACGCTTCATTTGCTTTAAACGTTCAAACGGACACCTGGCCAACACCCTGAACACCCAAAGGAGACAGAAAGAAATGGCAGATGAAAGGCCCGAGCTTGTTATGGTAAAAAAAGAGAAGTCAGCACGACACACAAATTCCATGAGAGACGTGGAAACAAATCGAATTGGACAGATCGATTAGGCATACAAATGTGCAATTAGAAGTGGAAAGTTCACCTTGTCGAGATGGATATGAGTGGTTCGATATATATCGGTTATATATATATCCGCTATATAGCTACCTAGCTACCCTTTGCCCAATTAGGCGTTACAAATTGTTAGATAGATGACAGAAAATAGGAACAGGAAGCGGAAGCAAACAAACGAACAACTAACGAGCCATGTAAAAGAGATGACAGCCAGGTTATTTCCATCGCTTTTGCCTCGTTTCAACTTTGCTCTCAATTAATGGAATTAAATTTTGTTAGTAATTGTTTTTTTCCTTTTTGTAATTTACGCGCCATTTGGTTAACCAATGTCTGACCGAATGCCACAAATTTCAATAATTACCGACAGTTTTTAATTATCCAACGGAACGAGAAATTTCGGGTAGTTTGAGGGCGTTTTATTGCCCAAAATTGTTTGAACGGCATTTAATTATTATTTATGATTGTTTAGCGCATTTTTACTGAAATTGATTTATGCGGTTTTCTCGTGTCTCTGGTCAAGTTTATTAATTTGTTAAAGCCAGCAGCGATTTGACACAAACTTCCCTTCCCGCTGAAACCACCCACTTTCGGAGTACATGTGGGCCCATGTCATGCCGCCTGCCCATTACAATTACATATTAATTAATAACAATTTTCTTTCGGGGGCGGGCGTTGAAGCTTGTAAGGCCATAATTAACAAATATTCGATTTCAGTTGGGGAAATGGAACTTTGGCAAGTTATGGAGTGGAAGGAGTGTTGAGGAAAATCCATCATCTATTCGGTTATGCTAATAAAATCTTAATAAATCGATGCACAGCCGATCCCATTAAAGTATCTGCTCCTCTTAATTTGGGTTCATTTAACTGGCCAGCCCCAAATACAGCAAGCATTTCCTGCTTTCGCCGTTGATTTTCAGCTTTCCCTACTCCGCTCCACCTCGTTGTCTTAA